CCTTGACTCCTGGTTCTTGGGTTTGGGGCCGTACAGGTATCCTCCTTGTGACTACCAGTACGATCATAACATCTCAGACAGATAGGTTCTTCTTCTGTTCTTGTCCATGTTGGTCTTGTGCGGTTTTCACCGGAGCTTTTGCTCGATCGTCAGACCTAGGGAAGATTTGCTGCTGACCAGACTGAGGCTGATTCGACGGCTCTGATGTAGTTTGTGGTAGTAGTGGAACATGACGACTGTTGTTGTTGTCGGCATAGAAGACTTGACCTTGAGGCGAATGACCAACATAGTGACCATCACCGTTGTAGCCATACGAACGTCGTTGTTTCAGTGCATGGGCCTTCTTTTGTAGACTGCGCATAACCGTGCGAATATCCTCATATGTAGTAACCTGGTCGGAACCACCCAGCTCCTTGCATGCGTCGTACCACCACCCCGTGAAAGGGTCACCAAGGCATGCTTGCAGAGCAAAGGCGATGTGTACCGGATGTAGCTGTGAGTGGTGGTCGACAGAACAGTATTCCAGCTCTCGCAAGCGCTCGTTGGTGATACGGAGGAAGTCACTGAGCTTCTTGCCTCCTTGCTTCTCCGTGAGGATCTGCTGGATGAGGCTCGTCACTACCGACTTGTCTTGGTGATTGGTGCCTAGATATCTGAGAGCATAATGATAAAACTCTTTATAATAACTTCGGCGATTGGGAGCTATGGTGAGATGGTTGCTCTGCTCGTCCTGGATGTAGGTGACCAGTTCTTCATCGATACAGGCCGCGATGAACGCCCGTACCGCTGCTGGTGACTCATGCGGAACCCATTCTTGTAAACAGAACGCCTCCCATTTTCTCCTCATATTGGAGAAACTGATACCACCATCGCCCTCGTTCTCACCGGTGTACACTGGAAGCTTCTTCTTGCGCCAGGTTTCGGCCAGATAGTTAGCAGTACGCGCAATATCGCGCTGTTCCTGGTGCGGTATGATGTCGTCGTCCATGCCCTTAGTAGCGGTGACACCCCTATAGACAGAATGCTGCTGATCTTCGCGAGCTGGTAGACTCCTAGGCAATCTATTCCTACTGCCATTATTGTGGGCGTAGCGAGAATGATCTTGCGCTGTCGGAAGTCGCCTGTTGTGCTCGACTTGGTCAATGGTCTCTTTGGGGTCACCAAACACCAACGACGATGAAAGGGCTCCTTGTTCTTGTCTCTCGAGACTCTTAGCTGATAAATAGGCCCGGTCTTCGCTTGAGTATGCCGGTTCCTTGGCCGTAGCTGATGATATTGAGTCGGACTCGTAGAAGACCGTGCGGTGCCGTTCTAGAGGTGCCGGATGTGGAAGTGCGCGCCCTTCTGCGCTTTGAATAACTTCGTCTTCTTCGACAGAGTAGTTTGAAGCTTGCTGACTGTTCCGGCGTTGAGCTCGTGGTAAGCTTCTTGGCGTAGGGATTTCTCCCGCCACCCTTCTAGAACGGCGCTGTTGGGGAAGATTAGTTCTCGGATGATTATGCTCATTGGCCATTACGGACTCGTTAGTCGTGTTGGGGGAGTTGTCGAGATCATCGTTCAACACAACCATAGGAGAGAAATCAAACCTTAATCTTACTTAATTGATCATGCTGCTACGAGTTAGTATGGAGCAAAACGGTCGGGCGGGCGACGACCAAAGATATGAGGATAACCGTAGCAGAATGCACAATGAATTTTGCTCATGTGCAAATATTGATCCAGCAATATTTGTTGGAGGTCATTCTCGTGGTCGCAACCGGGCAGGGGATACATGCGGGCATAGGGAAAGCCGAAGTAGTGGTAGCAACAGCAGCAGTAGCAGCAGCAGCAGTAGCAGCGGCAGTAGCAGCTGTGGCAGCGGTGGCGATGGCGATGGTAATAGCGAAGGTTAATGCGGCTCCTCCGACTCAGGAGTTTCGTCCCAACCTTGCTCCACTTCCGGTTTCATTGAAATTCGATTCTTGAGTGTGTTTCATTCGTGGCTAATCAAGTTTTTCGATGGAGTTCTGCGTTTTCAGTCTCTCCCAAGGTGGATCTACAGTAACCATGCATGCGCGATTCATGTAACTGGACAGTTTAAGAGATATATGCGATGCTTCGCGTTGACCATACCAGCTGTAGACGAGGTACATGAAAAGTGAAAAAGTAAAATTGAATTCACGTAAATTGTTTGTCGAACTACCAATGCGTACGGACGTAAACTATTTGCCCAAAAACAGTTTCGTGCTCGAAAAACAGTTCTCATTCGCATAATCTCATTGCTGAAAACGGTTTCGTGTTCGTGAAGCAGGTGTTAGTTGCATTAACTAATCAGTTCAAAACAGTTTTATACTTGAAAAACAGTTCTTACATGCACAAATTTGTTGTTAAGGAACTGTTTCGAGCTCATGAAACAGTTTTCGACTCGAGTATCGGGCTTCACTCAAGCCATAGATCTCGATTCTCACACCCAACTCTACCCTAAAATAGTGATAAATATGGCAGTACCACTTATCTGACATGAGTAAAAGAAATGGTATAATGAATTGAACAATGGGACACTTCCTTGTTGGCAAGCAATGAGCGCCGCCGCTGCTGCATTAATCTTTTCAAAGACACTGGCTGTGTGTTGCAGCATTCAATTTCGGGCCGGATAATACAGTGAGGATTGTTAAGGAAGACTCACAATATAGGGAAGGAATACAGGTATCTTGGGGTATCTTGAGGTTGAGCGTGCAAGATACAAGATAGGTCCAGATGAGTTACATGTGAAACTAATTGAGTAATGTGTTCCCAGCCATGTGGAGAACTCAAATTGAGTCGTCCCCCGGGAAAATCATAAATTCCTGGATGACTCCCTGTAGGATAGTTCAAAATACCTTAGTTATCCTTTTTCACTACGCGTCGCTTCGCCTCATTCCCCCCAAATTGTCACAACAATCCAATAAGGTAGACCAGTGGCCGTCGTCGCTTAAATTCTCATGCACAGCAATACGGAAGCTTCTACCTCTGTGGGCTTGGCAGAGGTTTTCTTTTCGGAGATTCTGTTGGGAGTGGACGCGGTATAGTCCTTGCTGCCTCTCCACTGCTAGTCCACAGGTACATCGGTTAGGCTTCACTCATCGTACGTCCTAGAGTGTCGTCATCATCATCGTCATCACAGTGATCATCACTTGAAGCTGTTGGACTTGTGCCGAGATAGACCTGCCAGGGCGAAAATGTAAAGTACTTGTGTATATGAGCCTTGAGATGGTACGAGATAATAGGC